AGATTAGAGGTGTTACAAGAGAGTAGTAAACACAAAAAAGGAGGAGAGATAAGATAAGGTTGATATATATTTGATAGGAAAGAAGAAACAAACCACACCAGAGCACCGGCCAACACCCACACGGCCATTTTGTGCTGGGAATAAAAAGCCACACAGGCACACAGCTGAAACAGAGGGGAAAGATATGAAGAAGAAAAAAGGACTAAGGCCCACATTTGGCGCCCTGCAACCACCAGTAGCAAGTTCCCTCAACAAGTCTAATAGAAAAACACAAGGATAGGCAACTACGGTCATGTTCATGAAACTGTTTCTTCTTGTTGAATGGTGTTTCGTGAAGGGTGTTATAAACGGGAACTTTTATTTTTAGAATTGCTACTATTAAAATAGGGATAATAATACCCTACCATAGTAGGCGCTCATCATCTTTGCCTGTCCCCTTCCGGACCAAGAAATAGGAAACCGGAAAGTGGAACTTTCCATCATCTTCAGATAGCGAAACTACTTGAAATATAGGGGCATTCAAAATCTTTGATTCAAATCTCTCAAAACTGGACACAGAGCAGATAGTACTTTGTAACAGCTGAGGTGGCTTCTTCTCCAAAGTACACGCGACCGCCCCACCCCCCTCCCATCCCCTGTCGGTTACCTTGTGAATTCAACTTTCTTTTTTATGCAGCTAATTAGCTTCCTGAGGGTATGTCCAACCCAACACCACCGCCTTCTTCCCGCTTCATTTCATCTCAAACTGAGCTCTGTCTCGTTCTCGAACGTTAGTTTTTAAACAGTTTTTATAGCACTTAAAATTAGGTCATTTGAGTTCCGAAGATTGGAAGTGCCACTAGAGAGTAACACACGAAGAAGAGAAGGAGGAGAGATAATAACGATAGATGTTTGATAAGAGAAATAAAGGAGCAACAATTACACCAGCACACCCGCCGACAAGGAGCAAAACAAACCAAAGCACCTGCTAACTGCCCACAAAGAGGAAACTAAACCTCAGCGCCCGCCAACCACCCGCACAATGAGCAAACCAAACTATAAAAAGCACCCGCCAACCACCCAACACAATGAGCAAACCAAACACAGAGCGTGCGTCGACCAACCACGTTCTCACATAGCCTAGATTGCAATTCTTCATGAACGTAGGCTAATAATAAAAGTTCAGGTCGAACCGCTTTTGCGCCAATTGCTGACACCGCATGACGAAGCAGCCTCGAGCACTATTAGTATTATCTGCTCTTCAGCGGCTATTGGCTATTCTCTCCAACTCACTCGATCGAAGTGGGGGATTTCTTCCATTGCCACTTGACTTCGTTTTTTTTAGTTTTAGTAAGACACTTGCATCACAATAAGGTCTTATTTTAGTAAGTATTTTTTTGGATTTAGTGAGAGTTTTACGGCACATGCAGCACAATAAGGTCATGTAAGTGCCAAAGATTAGAGGTGTCACAAGAGAGTAACAAACAAAAAAGAAGGAGAGATCAGGACGACAGAATGCTGATGTTTGGTAGGAATGAAGGAGCAAACCACACCAGAGCACCCACCAACCACCCACTTAGTAGGCCTATAGTGCTTTACGACAGTTACAACACGATAAGGCCATATAGGTGCTGAAGATTAGAGGCGTTACAAGAGAGTAGCAAACACAAAAAAGGAGGAGAGATCAGGACGATAGATGCTTGAGCGGAAAGAAGGAGCAAACCATACTAGGGCACCTACCACGCACTTTCTACAATGTGCTACCAAGCAGGCAGACGAAAGCGCTACAGCCAATAGACAAAACAATAACAACGACGACAACAACAACAACAACAGCAACATCAACAACAACAACATTATCATCGTCAACAACAACAGCAACATAATAGAATACATACTTGATGTATTTAATCCTCCTTGCTCTTCCATACGTCCACGAAATCTTTCACACAGCACCACTGTACTATCACTATCACAATTCACAATGACACAACCTACAATGCTTCCCTACCCATCTAGTTCAACCGAACACGCAACAAAAAGTGTGCCATCCGCGAGCGTGTGCGTGCGTATTATATATAGGGTACAGAATTTGGCTTAAGTCATTATACACGCCAAAATCTAAGCCAAGGTACGCCAGGTCCAAATCCGGCCCTACTTTTTTGTTTTGTTTTCCTCTCCGGTTTTAAGATGCTGGGGGTTTTTATTTTGTTTTGGTTTTGGTTTTTGTTGCTCGAAAGAGCACACAGAGGGCAATGGAAAGAAATCTGCGTTCTTCGACAGGAGAGAGAAATAAGCTGTTATATTGCACTTATTCACGTCTGCGTCATTTCATACATTTCATTTCGCAAAGAAATATTTCTTGAGCACATTTAACAACCCACACCAACAATGATTTGGGGTTTTGCTTTTTTTAATTGAAAAAATATATATTGATCCTTTTTTATTTT